CAACAGATCAAGTAGGATCATCCAATCCTGTAAAATAGGAAGCCGCACTCGTCGATGGTTGAATCGCGTGGAAAGGCGGCATGCAAGAATGGTCAGACTTGCTGGCGGTAGCCACTTGCGACACTCCCTGCAACTGTTGACCGCCGTGGGGATGAAATCAAGGACGTCCTGTGGTACGTCGGCTGCTCGCAGCGCCCGCTTCATCTCCGGCGACGCGCCACCGCCAGAGGCGCAGCTAGCTCCCGCGCGCGCTTCGCGAGAGTCACTGCGAAGTGCTCGTAAGGAGGTACTGGCGTCGAAGCGAGTCCAGTCTGAGGGCGTTGGGTCGTCTGCATCTGCGCCGGCAAACTCGCGGCGGTGTTCAACGAGCTTCTGCGCCTGATGCCTGACTAGCTCGGACCCCTGGTCGAGCGACATGAGCTCGCACACCTGGTCGAGCGGCGCAGTCGCCCGAACCCGCGCCCGGAGATCCAGCGCTGGATGACGAGCTGGTTCCCGACCCTCCTCCGGGCGCGGGCGGTAGAGCAGCCCCTCCAAGGCCCCCACCGCCGGCCAACGGAGCTCGCTGACCGCGAGAGCGATGCGACGATGAAGGTCGTTGCGCGGGCGCGGCTGGGGCCGCGGGGATGCGCGAACATGCACTTGTCAAACTCGCGAACGCGCGCGGAGCGACCGCGTTCCTTTTCCTCTCTCTCTCTCTCGCTCTCTCTCTCTCGCTCTCTTTTTTGTTTCTCTCTTTCTCTCTCTCTCTCTCTCTCTCTCTTTCTTTCTCTGTGTCTGTTTGTTCTCTCGTCCTCTATTTCCCTCTCTCTCTCTCTCGCTCTCTCACCCCCTCCCTTTCCCCACCCTCGCCTCATCACCCCTTCCCCCGCATCTGTGTTCACCCGTGCCTCCTCCCTTCCCACCTCCCCACTCGCCCCTCCTCCCGCCACTCCTTTCCTCTCCCGCTTCACCTCCCACAAAGTCCGCTTTCGCTCGAAGATTGCTGCCCCCAATGGGTCCGAAAGCCCAGCTCGGCGTGCTGCCCCGGACACCTGCCAGACTCGCCCACCGGGGTCGCTATCACTCCTCACCCGGACGAACGGGCGCGAAGGGAAAGACGAGAGAGAAGGGAACCCGTTGAAATGTAATCCTCCTCTTTCCCCTCCTCCTTTACATGTCCACCCGCAGACTCGTCATCGTGTTTTTTTTCCGGTGTTGCACCTGTACCGTCGCCATCACTATCGTATGCAGCTTCCAATGTCTACCATCATCGGCGCTGCCATCATCGTCATAAAAGTCGTCACCACCATTACCATCAGCATCTTCATGCCCGTTATCATCATCAAGGTCGTCGTGAAAGAACACCACCATCTTCGTCACCCGCCTCACTCTCGTTGTCATGCGCACCGCCACCGTCTCCATCGTCGTCGTCAGCGTCATCATCGTCGTCATCATCATGAACACCACCATCGTCATCAACGTCGGCTCGTCATCGCCATCATCATCGTCGCCGTCCGTGGCGGCTAGACCCATCCTCATTATCAACACCGACGTCGTAGTTGGTAGCATCACCGTGGTCATAGGCATGACACCCCCTGACCCCGCGGTGCTACGCTGGGATGGCCCTTCTGGGGAGGAATCGTGGCTTGTGCTCGGGGTGAACGGGTGGCTGGCTGGTCCAGCCGTGGGCGGTTTGCCCGTTGGGTTGGTGGTTCCAGCTTCGCCGTGCCCCCGACCAATTACCCGTGGATCTTCCTGGCCAGCAAAGTCAGCATCATCATGATCACAAGCGTCATCCTCGCCACCACAATGGATAATCATAAGTCTAGCGCTGATACTCCTAATCCTCCTCTTCCTCCTCCTCCTCCTCTTCTTCCTCCTCTTCCTCCTCTTCCATATTGTTGTTTGTGTTTCTCTCTCTCTCTCTCTCTCTCACTTTCTCGCAACGTTGCGCAGCATTCCCACCCGCGCTCGCGCGCCAGCGGGAGCCCCCCAGAAACGGCGGGAGGGGGAAAGAGGAAAGAGGTGACCAGATTCTGAATTCTAGCGGAGCGGAAGAAGGAGGGATGGGGGAGAGGGGAGCGGTCGAGCCACTCAAAAGATGTTTCGAAGTTCGTGGCCTGTTGTATTGCCCGTTACGATGTACGCGCCATCCGAATCACGGCACTGAGGAGTGGCATCAGGTGCAGAGCCGATGCGTGCCATGCGACGTAGCAAGTGCCGTGAGCAACAATATTGTAGCCGGTCGCGCCTGTTGCGATGGCCTGCCGCGCCGTCATCGTGCGGCGACGTACGGATATCACCTGGTAGCTCCTGTAAGACCGCAAGCAAGCCTTTTTCATACGGCGGTGCGCAGTGCGCAATGGCGATGCGCTCTTGGTACTCGTCGTAGGAGATCCGGCCCGCCTCGTAGACAGCTTCGATGGCACGGATCCGCAGCTGGAAATCTCTGCTCTGTCCCATGCTCCCCGGCAGATGGCTGCGATCTCTCTGACTGTCCAGGCACCCACCTTTTAATGGATCGCGCAGTAGAAGCTCGTTTGGAGGACGTCGTAGCTCAACTGGTTGTCCTCGTGGCTCTGCTGGTGGCCCTCGCACCTCTGCTGTTGGCTCACGTATCTCAGCTGGCGGTCGAAGGAGCTCAGCTTGTAGCCCTCGCGTGCCAGCTGGTGGCCCTGGCAAAACAGCAGGAGGTCGTCGTAGCTCTAGCGGTGGCTCTCGTCTCGCGCCGTCCCTGGTGGCTCAGCTAGTGGCAGAAGTAGCCCTCGTAGCTCAGCTGTCTGCCCTCATAGCACAGCTGGTGATCCAAGTAGCTCAGACCGTGGCCCTCGTAGCTCCTCTGGTGGTCCCCTCTGTTGGTGGTCCGATGGCGTCCGTGTAGCTCAGCCCGTGGTCCTCGTAGCTCGGCAGGTGGCCTTTGAAGCTCTGCTCATGGCTCTCAGAGGTCTACTGGTGGACCTGGTAACTCTCTGCTGAGAGCCTTCGTGGCTCTGCTGGTGGCCCTCGAAGCGCCGCAGGTGGTCCTCGTATCTCTGCTGGTGGCCCCCGTGGCACAACTGATGGCCCTCGAAGCTCCGCTCGGCGCCCGCGTAGCTCAGCTCGTGGCGCTCCCAGCTCGGCAGCTTGCTTGCAAAGCTCTGCGGGTTGCCCTTAAGGTCTTGTTGTTGGCCGTGTAGTTCAGCTCGTTCGTAGGTCAGCACGTGGTCCTCGTGGTTCTCCTGGAGGCTGTGGGAGGTCTGCTGACCCTCGTAGCTCTAGCACTGCTCGGGCCTCGCTCTGCTCGTCGCGCTCCTCGTGCTCGTCGCGCCCGTCGTGACATCACGCACCGCTCTCGTCGGAGGGTTCCACATCTGCGCCTCCGTGGTGCAGCGGCTTCTTGAAGCAGCTACGAAAGGGTGCACCGGCGGGGCTGGTGCACGGCGGCGTCCTCATCATTTCCACGGCCACGCGGTTGTAATAACGTCGCCCATGCTGGTTGAAGTAGCTGTTCCAGCTAGACGGCAGGGAGGCAGGCGCCGGTAGCTCTCGCAGGTCGGCTGGCAACTCTCGTAGCTCAAACGGCGGTCCTCGAAGCTTTGCTTCTCGTCCTCGTAATGCGGCAGGGGGCCCTCGTAGCTACGCTGGTTGCCCCCGTCGCTGTACTGGCAGTGTTCGTATCCTTGCCGGTTGCCCTCTTGGACCTGCTGGTGGCTCTCGACGTATTGCTTCTTGTCGACGAAGGTCTGCTGGCGACCCCCGTAGGTCTGCCAGAAGCCCTCGTAGCTAAGAAAGTGGCTCTCGTAGCTCGGCTTGAGGCCGTCGAGGCTCTGCTGGTAGCTCTTGAAGCTCCGTTTCCTGCGACGTTGTACTGCGGGCGAGTCGCGGAGCTCTGCTAGCTGCCCTTGATGACATACTGGTGGCCCTCGAATCTCCAGCGGTGGCTTTGAAGCCCTGCTTCTTGCCGTTCTAGACCCCCGGCCTGCTTGGACTTGTACCAGCGGTCGCCCGCGGCGTGGTTGCACAGAGCGTCGTAGCCTCGGCGGTCGCACTGTTTGTGGTCATGGTGGCAATCGCAACTCCTGGCGGCCGTCGCAGCCCGGTTGGACGCTCCTGCTGTGGAGGGCGTCGTAGCTGGTCAAATGGCCGTCGTAGTCCACGCTGGTTCCGTCGACTGAGAAAGGGAGCGCCAGGTTGCCCCAGCACTGTCCTTTCTCGCCTGGGAGGACCTGCTCGCCGAGGCACGCCTCAATCATGTACGGCAAGGACTCTGCGGCCAGATCTATCGTGATCTGGTATGGCCATCAAAACGTCCGCGAACGGGTTCATGCCGCAGCGATTGCCACCGTACTTGCCGACGACCTCGGCGGCGCATGCGGTGTCGTACCACTCGTGGTACGTATCGTGTTTCGTGTGGCAGTCGGTGTCGTAGTCGCCCGCGTTGTCGTAGATGGCCTCATGCTTGTCATGAGTTGCTGCTTGTTGCACAACCCGTCGCAGGAGCAATGCGCTTTCACGGGGGCGGTCGTAGCGATGATCGTGATGTCGTCGACGTGTGATTGCATCCCACGTCGGACGATGTATCCCGTCCTTCTGCATGCTGCATCAATTCGTGCCTATTTCATCCAGGTCGCCTTTGGTTTCGGCATTGTGGCCAGCATGTCTCCACGAAGCGTGGGCAAGCCTCGCAGCCCTGATTGGTCGCCCGCATGTCGATGAAGATCACACACGCTGTTGGTCACCCCCTCGTGGATGAGCGTGTTCAGGGTGAAGCGCACGCCCGCCCGCCGCCGATAGCGCGGCGGCGCGGTGAGGCCGGCGCCCCCGAGGGCGGCCGCGCGGCAAAGGCGCGGCTCCAGGGCCCAGCGCGTGGAATGGAGCTCCCGCCAACGACGCTTCTCCTCCTCCTCCTCTTCGTCCTCTTCCTCCTCGTCGTCGTCCTCTTCCTCCTCCTCCTCCTGCTCCTCATCACCATCATCATCCTGAGCGGCATCGCGGCGGCGAGTGATCAGCCTTGCCGACCTGCCCCGTGGTCCGCAGCATCATGAGCGCCGCCGCGGCACGCGCTGTTTGGGGGGGGGGAGAGGGGCCACTCGGGTCTGACCCTCCCGCCGCCCCCTCCTCTCCGCCCCTCCCAGCTCACCCGCAGGAGGAGGGAGAGAAGGAGGAGGGTAACGGGGAGGAGGAGGAGGTGGATGAGAAGGACGAGGAGGAGGAGGCGCAAACCCAAGGCGCATCAACGATGTTGTAGAAAAACCCACCCTTCAAACTCACTCTTCGCAAGCCCGTACAAGAATATGTTATCATTGCGGGAAACACCCGATTAGCATATCAGAAGACAACCGTCTGAGAATCCTCACTCGTGCCAAGAAACCGTTCCTGAGACTTCAGCGCCGCGAATCAACGTAGCTGTTGCATCCTGATGGTCCTAAATCGTGCCAGTGCACCCGTCCTGTGACTTCAAGACAGCGAATCAACGTGAGCACTGCATCCTGACAATCCTAAATCGTGCAAAAAACACCCTTCGTAAGACTTCTACCATGAGAATCCTTGCAGCTGCTGCAACCTACCAGAACCAATGCGAGCGGCGCTAAGGCGAGCGCCACATTTCAACAACGACCCACCCGCCATCCATGAAGCTGCGGCAGACGTTTAGAACGACGGCGCACGGAACCAAAACGGGAGACACACGTACCCGTTGAAAACGACCCGCCCTACGCCCGTGAAGCTGCTGCGCACGCCGAAAACGAATGTGCTCGGCACGAAGACGAGAACAGCACGTTGACAACGGCCCGCCCTGCATCCATCGAGCTGCTGCAGCTCTTGCAAACAAATCTCCAAGAACGGCAAAAAGGATGCGCGCGGCGCTCAGGGGAGAGACACATGTTTTGTGGATGCCACGACAATGGACACCCGAACAATCCGATCATTGAATGAAACATGTGCTTGAAATGTGTGAAATGTATTATCAAACATGTTCCAAACATGTTTTTACATGTTAAATCATGCTTGCAACAGGTTTTAGACATCTGAAAATTGTTTGGCAGCCTGCTTCCTCTCCATTACTCGACTTCCACAACACGTGCTGAGAACGGGTTGCAAATGTCCAAGCTTCGTCCTGGACGCGGTTGCAAATTTCCAAGCTTCGGGATCACGAGTGGCAGCGAAGTCTCCAGCGAAACGCCCAGCCCGCCCTGACGGCACGTCTGGGGGGGGACAGGGAGGACTTCCTTCGAGGGAAAAGAACCGAGAAGAAGCAGGAAGAGGAAGGGGAGGAGGAGGAGGAGGAAGAAAGAGGAGGATGAGGAAGAAAGAGGAGGAGGAGGAGGAGGAAGAGAGAGGAGGAGGAAGAAGAAAGAGGAGGAGGAGGAGGAGGAGGAGGAAAGAGGAGGAAGAGGAAAAGGAGGAGGAGGGGGAGGGGATCCGCTGGCCATCCTGGGACCACGCCCGCCGAAGGCCTTCCATTGCCAATCAAGGCGCCCTCCAGAATGAGAGGAGGGAAAGAAAGGGTACCCTCCCGAGGGGGCGGGAGGTAGCAGACTTCGGAACTTGGAGGCTACTTCGAGGGGACCCACTCGGGCGCAAATCGTGCTCAGTCAGACTCATCGAGACCGTGCTTCCTCCTCAAGCAAAACCTTACGCTCAGCCACAACTGACGATGGATCGGCGAAGCCATGCAAGCGGGCAGCCTCCACGTCCATCTCCAGAGGAGCATGCTGAAAGCCGTATCCCACCGGCCCGCTCCCAGCCCAGACGCCCCCATTCTCAGACTGGGCGGGGAGAAGGAGAAGAACAGAAAGAGGACGAGGAGAATCTCTCGGCGGCCAGGCTTGGCGAGGTGGGCAGGCGGAGCCTCCCCAGAGGCACACCCGCGGCGAGGCCGGACGCCCCACTGGCCGCGACGACGCCCCAGATCCCCCACGAGGCTCCAAGGCCGAGGCGGGCGCCTCTCCCCGCACGCGGAACGGGCGGCGGCTCGGCCTCGAGCGGACCCTCAACCCGCCGCTGAGGAACGAGCGTGGCGGAACCAACCGTGCAGCGGGACTCC